TCCTTTTATCCCATGATTTTTGAGCTTACTTAGGAGCCTTTGATGAGGAACTTTATCAAAAGCTTTCTGGAAGCCAAGGTAAACAATATCTATTCGGTCCCCTTTGTCCACATGTTTGTTCACCCCTCAAAGAACACTAACAGGTTAGTTAGACAAGATAACAGATTAGTTAGACAACAGGTTAGTTAGGAAAAAAAGGGATAAATCACCAGGCCCAGATGGCATACATCCGAGAGTTCTAAAAGAACTCAAATGTGAACTTGTGGATCTCCTTACAAAAATATGTAATCTTTCCTTAAAATCTGCCTCCATTGGTTTCCACCAATTTACCCAGTATCGACGTCAGACTGACTGGCCTGTAATTTCCCAGATCTCCTCTGGAACCCTTTTTAAAGATGGGAGTGACATTAGCTACCTTCCAGTCCTCAGGAATGGAGGCAGATTTGAAGGAAAGATTACATATTTTTGTCAGGAGATCCACAAGTTCACAATTGAGTTCTTTCAGAACTCTCGGATATATGCCATCTGGGCCTGGTGATTTATCAGTTTTTAAGTTGTCTATCAGTTTTAGGACCTCCTCTCTCGTCACCTCAATCTGACTCAGGTCTTTCAACACCCCTCCCGAACTCAGCGGCTCTGGAGTGGGCAAGCACCTCTCATCTTCCACAGTGAAGACGGAGGCAAAAAATGCATTTAGCTTCTCAGCCATTTCCCTATCATCCTTCAGTACTCCTTTTACCCCTTGGTCATCCAAGGGCCCCACTGCCTCCCTGGCTGGTTTCCTGCTTCTAATGTATTTGAAGAAAGTTTTATTGTTGGTCTTTACATTTTTTGCTATATGCTCCTCATATTCCCTTTTTGCATGCCTGACCACAGACTTGCATTTTATTTGCCATAGCCTGTGTTCTGTTTTATCAGCCTCACTGTGACTAGCTTTCCACCGCTTAAAGGAATCCTTTTTACCTTTTACAGCTTCCATTACTTTGTTTGTTAACCATGTAGGCTTTTTCTTATACCTGTTTGTGCCTTTCCTAACCTGCGGAATATATTTTATTTGAGCTTCTAGAATTGTAGTTTTAAACAGTTTCCAAGCTTCCCCAATGGTTTTGACCCTTTCTACTTTTCCCTTCAGTTTCCTCCCCACATGTCCCCTCATATCAGAAAAATTACCCCTTTTAAAGTTAAAAGTGGTTGTGTGAGTCTTTTTGGCCAATTCCCTATTTGTACAAATGTTGAACTCAACAACATTATGATCACTGTTCCCAAGCGGTGCAATCACTTTTACATCTCTCACCAGGTCTTGAGTGTTACTTAGGACCAAATCAAGGATCGCCTCTCCCCTGGTAGGTTCCATGACCATCTGCTCCATAGCACAGTCATTTAGAGTGTCTAGAAACTCAATCTCTTTCTCTCGACTAGAACACATATTGACCCAATCAATGTGTGGGTAGTTAAAATCACCTATTACGACACAGTGTTTTTGTCTAGCTGCTATCTTTAATTCATTCATCATTTTATAATCCTCCTCTATCTTTTGATCCGGTGGGCGATAACAAACTCCCAGTGTTAAGTTTCCTTTTGGCCCCCCTATTTCAACCCACAGAACTTCAAGAAGCGAATCCAATTCTCTTAGCCTCTCGATCTTTCTGGACTTTATACCCTCTCTGACATACAGAGCCACCCCACCTCCAACCCTTCCCCCCCTATCCTTCCGATATAATATATAACCGGGAATCACCGTATCCCACTGATTTTCCTCATCCCACCAAGTTTCTGAAATACCCACAATGTCTATTTTTCCCTCTGACACCAAGCACTCCAACTCCCCGATTTTACCTCGGACACTTCGAGCATTTGTATAGAAACAGCTGTAATTTCCCATACTGGTTAAGCCTGCCACCTTCCTCTTGCAATCTCGAGACCAGAAACTCAATCTCTTTTTCTTGACTAGAACACATATTGACCCAATCAATGTGTGGGTCGTTAAAATCACCTATTACAACACAGTTTTTTTTCTAGCTGCTATCTTTAATTCATTCATCATTTTATAATCCTCCTCTATCTTTTGATCTGGTGGGCGATAACAAACTCCCAGTGTTAAGTTTCCTTTTGGGCCCCCTATTTCAACCCACAGAATTTCCAGAAGCAAATCCAATTATCTTAGCCTCTCAATCTTTCTGGACTTTATACCCTCTTTGACATACAGAGCCACCCCACCTCCAGCCCTTCCCCCCTATCCTTCCGATATAATATATAACCGGGAATCACTGTATCCCACTGATTTTCCTCATCCCACCAAGTTTCTGAAATACCCACAATGTCTATTTTTCCCTCCAACACCAAGCACTCCAACTCCCCGATTTTACCTCGGACACTTCTAGCATTTGAATAGAAACAGCTATAATTTCCCATACAAGTTAAGCCTGCCACCTTCCTCTTGCTATCTTAAGACCTTTTCAGGCAGTCCATGTCACTAGCCATGGTCTCAGTGGACAATTTCAATCCACCTCCCTGTAGAAAAGCAACAGGTACCCCCTCATCTCTCTGAGATGAGCCAACCCGAACCAGAGACTTTTCATCTCCTGTCGGCTTTCCCCCAATATTCAGTTTAAATCAAAGTTAACTTTCATATTTTTAAAAAGCCATTCTTCAAAGCCTCTAATAAATTAAAACAAAACAAAAACCCTCTGAGCTGTAAAACCATCTGATAATCTTTACGCACCAGCAACCTGATTCTCACAGCACTGATTTGGTTCAAGATCTATTAAAATGCAGCCAATATTTGTAAGGACACGAACTGAGAAGCTTTGCTAAAACTTTACTGCTGGGCTTCCATCATTCTAATGCATGGTTCTGAATTTCTTCTCTCCATATGCCAAGCTCCAAGATACACATTCTAACACAGGAGTTACCCCCACAGCAAGGTTAAAGAACGTCTATCATGAAACTGAGGTACTAATATTCTGTTCAGATAACAGAAGTTACATTTTCCAGAAGATCATTAAGTATGCTGCATTCATTGTACTCATTGTATTCATTATAACGTAAAAGTCTCTGTTTCCCCCCTCTGATCTTTGTGTTTGTTGGTTAGTCTCAAGGGGTGGAGTCCTTGCTCATTAATTTTGTTTATAAGTTTGAACTGTAGCCTGCATGTGCTCCCTTGTTCTAAAACCAGTTGCTCCCACCTTTGTATCTCCTTGCTAATAAATGGATGTTGTTTTGAACACATCCATCTCTGCTGTGGGAACCTACAAGCAGGAACCTGAGTGAGCATCCTGACCTGCAAGCAAAAAGGAACATCACAATAAGGACTCTGCTTCATGTTAGAGAACAAGTTTGATATTTGTTTTATGAACTACTTATTGCTACACATGGACTGTGCACACACACATAGGCTCAGAGAGCTGTACACTTTAGGTCACCTGTTGTGATGCCACACATAGAGGGTGCCTGCACATACCTTACATGGAAATAAGGTTTCAGCTACACAGTTGCCCAGCCTGGTGAAGAAGCACAAACCTCCATTATTGTGAGCAATGAAACAACAACTCTAGGAAGAAACAGCCCCCATGGCAAAGCTGCTTGTGGTCACGTACCACCCATCAACTGCTTTGTTCCTGAGCTGGCTTTTCCTGCCAGATGGACATCTGGTTATCAATGGAGCTGGCCAACTTCATCAACATGACAATGAAGCATCCTGACGCCTGGATTTCACAGCTGTCCAGATGCCATACTTCGAGTAAGGTTTTAGGTTACAATATTGGCCACCCCTCCTAGGTAACCTCCCTCCCTACCTGCAACCAATAGGATTGTTTTTAAGACGGACTAACAGGTAGGTGGGTCAAGAGGCTGGCACGGTTACCACCCACCTCTTGGATCCCCTATAAAAGAAGAGAACCAGTCACCTGACTCCTCCTAGCTAGCACTCCCCCCAAGACGACCCCTGTCTGCTTTTACCCCTCTTGAGTCCCACTTGCTATCCCCCAACCCTTGCCTCTACTGCCCATGCGTTCCAGCTGGTTCTGGTCGTGTGTGGATTCCCTTTGTTTCCATTTCTTCCCATCCATTCTTCATTGGAACAACCACGCTTCAGGACAGATAAGTATCACCCGTCATCATTCCTACCTGCTAATGCAACTGTGCTTATTTCATACTGTAATTCTTAGGAACTTGATTGAATGTGTGAGTGCATCAGTATTGTTTGTATGAGACATATTTTTAAGTAAAAGACATCTATTTTAACTACAACAGCCTTGAATCCTTTACTGGTAACCCTTGGTGGGATCAGGACCTTGGTATAAATTGGCAAGAACCCATTTATAAATTGGCAATTGCTGTAAATAAAGCAATTCGGCTAACATTCACAGCCATCCACTGGGCTGTACTCACTTTCTGAACTGCAGACCAACATCAAGCAAGTAACTGACGGTATCTACCACAGAAAGCCATGACACACAATCACCACTTCTTAGAAAGCAGCCTCGTATATTCAGAGAACGATGGCTGTTGGTTGTTCACTGGAAGTCTGACCAAGTGTAACAGAGGTGGCAGCTGCTCAGGACAGGAAGATAATCAGGATTCTCTCCCACTACTACCAGTGAAGCAGGGAGGAGGAGACGCTCTCTGACTCTCAGCGCGTCTCCCAGCAAAGTGGCAGGGGGAGCGACAGCAGTTAGAGACGGGGTGGAAAATCCCAGTGTGCATGCAGCTCAGCAGAAGTAGCAAAATACCCTGGGCTGACCAAGATAAGGAGGTGTGTGCGTAATTGAACTGTATAAAACTATTGTTCTTTCTGTGTCCGGGGCCCAGCCCTTTTTGAGCACTCCTCGCAGCTGGGCCTGACGTCAATAAAGCACTTTTCCTTTCTCACCCGTTGTCTGGATGTTTCTCTGCGCCTTCCTAAATCCTGCCTCCTGCTACACCAGTATGACCACCATCCCACCCAACACCCAGCAGATCATCATCAGCAGAAGAAATAGGGTGCTTATTTCAGGACATACCTGTGCAGGGTAGTCAAAAAGCCACTGCTCCCTTGCCTTTTCCTCATAAGCCATCACTGCTTCTGTCATTTCATGCCTCACAGTGGCCCTCATATGGTGCAGCACCTGATTCAGCCAGCTCTCCACCTGTAGGAGAAAAAGAATCCAGAAATTTACCATCAAACAATGGTTCCTCCTGCCTCCATGAAACTACAATAGAATTTTGCTGCTTATGGCAACTAAAACAGTATCCAGGTAGTAATCAATGAGATTGGTCCAGTTGCGGCTGTCCCTCATTTGCTGTCAGAGGAGCAACTGCACATATATACCATAACCTTGGGGAAAGGGGCTGTTAAGAAGTGATTCTAGGGTTTAGAGCACAACCCCATACTTGTGTATTCAGAGGTATACATAGGACTGCAGCCTTATCTCTCTGGTTTCATTTTGTTCTATGGACTGAATTGTGTGTTTTTTTACACAAGGGACTTTTCAAATACTCAATCCACCGCCTTTAGCCTATCTTTAGTGTGAAAAGGTGCAATCCAATAAGAGTTGTATCAGTCACATTCAGAAACCAAGACAAACAGATATTTGGATATGATGGACACAAACATGGTTTAGTGCCATGCTCTCTCCTCAGACCTTCCTGACCCCTTCTGTGATCTGACACAAAGTGAATCAAACTCCAGTATACCATGATGTTCAAATGAGGGCACCTGGGCAAACAACCCCTATGTCATGTGCAGGGGCTCTACCATGCATGCCCACAGAGGAGGGCAAGAAGACCCCACCAGTTCCTTCTGACCACTGCAAAAAGCCTCAAGAAAGGAAGAGGACCAACAGCAGAGGGGAAGGAGTGTGGGTGGCGTGAATGCACAAATGACTACACGAAGATCACCAGTTACAGGTAAGCAACCTACCTTCTTCGTGGTCTCTGTCCATCACATCGTTGGGCAAATAACAAGCACAGGCCTACCTGGAGGAGGGTGCTGGAAGGGACTCAACCACACACCGACTGCAACATGGAGCATCCCAACGAAGTTTGTTGATGGAGAAGAAGGTCCAGGGCATAGTGTTCCACAAAGGTGTGAGATGTAGCCTATGTGGCAGCATAGCAGATCTCTCGCAGGGAAGTGTCCAGAGCTCATGTAGAATAAGCACGCACAGGTCCAGGAAGTGGCTTTTTAGCTAGCATGTAATAGAGCTTGATAGTCTCTACTATCCATCTGGATAATCTTTGTGAAGCGATTTTAGGTCCTTTTGTGGCATAGGACACAAAAGAGTTGGGGTTTTACTAAAGTCCCAAGTTCTGTGTAGATAGAAGAGTAGAGCTCTGTTTACGTCAAGAGAACAAAGATGACACTCTGAATCATCCCAAGGACAAGGAAAAAGAACAGGTACAGCAATGTCTGCTTGGAGGTGGAACTCTGAAACCACCTTGGGAAGGGTGATGTCCAGAGCTAGAGAGACACCATCCTGGTGAAATGTCTGGTAGAGAGGATCACAGTGTAACGCCATGAGTTCACCCACCCTTCTAGCAGAGGTAATAGCAACTAGAAAGGTAGTTTTCCACAACAGAAGCTGCAGTTTGAACAGCCTTCCCGAGAGCCTGGTCAAAACCAGTGGGAGATCCCAAGCCGGTGTGGAATGACAAACTAATGGGAAGAGACAAAGGAGCCCCTTAAGGAATTTCTCTGTGTGGGGGGTGAGTGAATATCAAATGCCCATCAATAGGAGTGTGATGGACAGAAATAGCTGCCAAGTACACAGAGAGTGATGAGTGACTTAGACCTAAGTCTACCAAAGAGAGCTCAAAGATAGCCAAAAGATCTAACAGAGGTACAGGCAGATTAGTGAAGTCAGGATAGCGCAAAAAACCTCTTCCATTTATAAGTCATAGGATTTGCGGGTGGAGGGTTTTCTGCAATTCAGCATAATGTGATCTATCCTTTGCTGCAGATCCATCAGAAGATTCTCCATGCTGTAAGTTTCAGGTGTGGGACATTGTGGTACAGTACCAAGCCCACTTGGGAGAGCAGGAGATCTGTCGCCATTGGGAAGTGGTGGAAGAAATCCCTGGAGACATGTAGAAGCATCGGGGACCAGTGTTGGTATGGCTACCACAATGTTCTTAGGATGCATGTCAGAGTTTCCACCATGTCAAAAATTGTATTCGTAACAGTGGGGAAAGGTTACACTGTGGATAGGTTTAGTGTGTGAGCCATATGTTTGATGAAGCCTCCGTAGGATTTCAGGTCTCCTGATGGAGAAATAGGAAGATCGCCTGTCACTTTAGGTGTCGGGAATGGATCAGAATTGGAGTTACGGTAATCTGATCTTTCATCCCCTGAGTCATGAGCGGAATCATTGAATGATTCTCCAGAGTCAGAAGGATCCGAAAAGTGTGCCGATGTCAGGGCTCTCAGTATCAGTGGTATCAGTACCAAAGGTGAGGTTTTGGTTTTCTCCATATGCTTGTGAGGCCGATCCATCAGGGGTGGTAGTCGCGACAGGGTTGTTTCTGGTCTCAGAGTAGGATCCCGGTAGCGAGACAGGCAGGAAGAGGTGGACTGTCGAACCCAATCCATCGGCATGCAACCCGAAAGCCAGGGAATGGTAGAAAAAAGTAGGTAGGCTCCACACAGGTACAGCCAATGTCTCTGATCCCCTGGGATAGGAGGTGGTGGAGGAGGCTGAAAACTCATTGATTGATACCAATTGTCGAAAGAGCGATCGTGGGAAATGTGTGGAGAGGTAGGATGAAAGGATCCAGTATTCCGATCCCTGTTTTCAGTGTGGATGCTTTCAGCGCTGGAGGAATAGGATTTTTGAGTTAAGTCCATCTCATGGTCAGAATCGGAGAACCGTATCTGTTGAGCCAGAGGCAATGCCACTCTCATGAGGGACTGGCTCTGAATAAGAGAATTGCGCAGTTTGAGGGGGGGGCTGGAGGAGGCTCTGACACATGGTGTGGTGTCGGGTTAGCCCTGAATGGAGAGCTCTTGGGTTTCTCCTTGTGTTTCTTTAGCTTGTCTTGCTTATGCCCCTTATCCTTCCTGCATTTCTTGGCAGAAGTAGGGTTGTCCAATTCAGTGGCTGGGACCAAGTATTTTGACACTGGTCGATCGGCATCGGAAGGAGTCAATATCGGTGACATAGCCATTGGCAATGTTGAAGCGGGGGTTGACATCGAAGCGTGGCTGGAGGTCTCATGTGATGATGCCATCACAGGTGAGAGAGCCAATTCAAGGAGTCTGGCTGCTCAATTTTTTCTTGTTTGTTTAGGGAATTTAGAACAGTGTACACAGGACTCCACGTGGTGGGCTTCCCCAAGGCAGAGTAGGCAGAGAAACTGTCTGCCAGGCGGTGTGATTTTTCTACCACACTTCAGGCACCGTTTGAAAAAAACCCAATGTTTGGCCATAGGCTAGAGTGGAATGGCCTGGGTACAGTCTAGGGGGGGAAGGTGGCGAGAAGGGGGCCAAGGCTGTGGCCCACTGTAAAGTCACTAACTGTCCAGAAAAATGTTGTTGTCCATGAAAAGTACTGGGTTTGCCGCATGGAGGACTCGGACGACGACATACTGTAGCACACGTTTATTGTACTTCACATAACAAAGACTAACTCAAACGGCCAACAGGGCCAACTATATACATATCCACCAGCAACCCCCCCACTCCCATTGGAGGGTTTGAATGTCCCGCCAAGGTGGCTATTGGTTGGGGCTGGGGGATCCAGGATCCGAAGTTTCTATTGTTCTAGGATCCAAGCTCTGGCTTTTCCGCAGACCCCTGGTGGCGGTCCATGTACATAACAGTCCATTTCAGGTCCAAAGAGAATTGTCCAAGAGAAGGTTTTTAGAACGAAAAGGCAGTTACCAACCAAAGTGAGGAGAGAAGTCCGAACAGCGTGGCAGTCAGAAGAAAACTGGTGGGATCCTCGTGTCCTCCCATGTGGGCATACACAGTGGAGCCCCTGCTCATGATACAGGGGTTGGGCACAAAAAATCCTTTCTGCTTTCTATGTTACTGGTGTAACTCAAGATCAGGCACCTCTTTCTTTAATCAGTGATTTCAGTTTATTAGAACAGAACACGTAACAACACAGAACACACAGAACAACCCCAACTTTATACAGTTTGGAACTGGCTAAACCACACCCCCAAAACAGTAAGGTCCAATCATAAGTGAGTGCTTAGGACCAATAGGGTTTGTTCCTGCCAAAAGTCATAGTCTTCCCTGATTGGTCCATTGCACAACGGCAGCCAATCAGGCTGTTGATTTCAGGATCCTGAGAGTCTATGGAGCTTGTGACTGAAGCTCAGGCTCATTCCACAATTCAGGCTATCCATATAACACAATACATAACAGTTACCAATCGGGATCAGCGCAGGTGCACTATATCCCAACGGTGTGATGCACAGAGACCACGAAGAAGATCTAGAATTCTAAACTGGGATTGAATGGAGGTCTAGAATCTCAGTGTAATGATTTCATGTTTTGATGTGTGTGTTTCTTTAAATGTTTAGTTTGACTGCAGTAATGTAAGGAGAGTGATAGAGGGAGATGAGTGTGATGTGACTGGCTGATGACTGAGAGTGTGGGAGGAGGGGTGTCTCTGAGGTGATTCTGTGTTTTTGGAGAGACGAGTGTGGAGAGTTTTGGAGTTTAGCCTGTATGGCAGAAGAAGCAGTTTGAGTCTATCCTGTGCGGCTAAGACAAACTGTTTAGCCTGTGTGGCTAAAACAATCAGTTCAGCCTGTGTGGCTAAGAGAGGCAGAGTTTAGCCTGTGTGGCTAAGAGAGGCAGAGTTTAGCCTCTGTGGCTAAGGCTGTCAGAGTTGAGTTTTGGTGTTTTGAGAGACAGTGTGTGATGCAAAGCTTTATCAGTTATATATATGTTTCTTTCTTCCACAACAGTTCAAAAATACTCAGAGACCTGTTTTGTTCTTTTATATATAAATCATTATTTGTTTAAACTTATCCCAGCAGTCAGAACAGTCCTTCCTCAGGGCCACATCATCCTCTGAAGTACCCAGACATAGGATCATTCTACCATAATAGAGAGATTTAGAATTTTTAATTCCTGGGGGCAGCAGTAATCTACTAAGTTTATGTGAACAGAGTGTGTTTTAAAGGAAAAACAGTCTCCCATTAAGGAGGGCGTCACATCCAGTTTGTGAGGGCTCCAATAGCTTGAGTGCCTGTATTCAGATGCAACAGAAAACTGGAGCTTGATTGGAGGCTTACCAAACTGCCAATCTTTTGACTGCATTTTGCATGTGATAGGAAGAGGGAAGGGAAAGAGACAAACACATGTGTATGCCATCAAGCTGTCTTCATGCCAGTCATGAAAAAGCTTTGGTTTGACAAGCAGCCATCAAATGAGAATGCTGATGGTGTAGCTTGGTTCTAAATCTTCTACTAACATCAGTCAACTGCTGCACAAAAGACTACATATGTATGGGGAAGAGCTTTCACATAGAGCTCTCTTTTTTTTCTTCCACATGACATCATCATGCAGTCACTCATCTTCTAGGTCTTCCCCCATTATGCTGTGTAATTTCCAAATCCTACATTGGTACAATCTTCCAAGGAAGATCGTGCTCAAAGCAGGTTTGGGATTCATGGAGATGGGAAGGTGCAGATTTGTGCACCTTCTTGCCCTTACCCATTACCAAAATCTCCCCATTTCCCACTGTACCCACCATTCCAACCTCCTCCCACTACCAGACTTTTTCCTGTTCTTGTTGGTAGTAGGCATATTACTGTAGCAGAATGCCCTTAGGGGGGAGGGGGAATGGTAGCCACAAGGGGAAAGCATGGAGACAATCTCTGTGCAGAGGCTCCATTACTGATGCAAAAGTAGTGACAGCAAAAGGGGAATCATTCCCACATGGAAGAAACCTAAGACAGTTGGTATTCTTATTTTTGCTTTAACCTTGTGATCATACAGTAGGACATATCAGAGCCAGACGTTCTGTTAGTTGTGTTTGCCACTTACATCTACCACTGTCCCAATGAAACATTCCCATGAAGCAGAGATTTTTAAAAACACAGCTGTAGTTCTCATTTGGATTTGTGACATTACCCTACCTGGCCACTGCAGTCACATGGTTCACTGAAACTAACATACTCGTCCTCTTTGCTATACATCCCTAAGGTCAGCTTGGTTGGATGTTGATCAGAATCCACCTGGAATTTCATTTTGGCCATATTGTCAAAGAGTTTTGAAAGATGGCGCTGGACCTGCAAAAAATTAATTAGGTCTGAGCAATAGGAAGTCAGAGTAAATACAACTTTCCCATATTGTTTTTTGGAGGAATGGTTCCCAGTGATGCCATGGGAGAATACCAGCACCAGCAGAGCTGTACCATAGGACCAGAGTGAAAGACAAAGGCAGCTTATATTTAATGTCCATTTTTTTCAGTTTAGATAAATAAATTCTCTGAAATGGCCAAGAGCCATAACTGGCATTCAGCAGCTTATAGAAGCAGCTCACGGCAGTCCTGAGAAAAGCTCCTTTTATGTACAAAACATCCTTCCTTCTATTTGATAAACTGTATATAAAGCATTCTCAGTCTCCACCAATGGGTCCCCTAAAGCCTTCAATTGCACTTAAATCATTGCAAGTTCAATACCGGTCCCACTAAGATAAAATTGTTATGCATTTAATCCTCCTCCTGGTATCAGCCAACATAGCTCAGAGACAACAATGGAAAGGCCACAGGTTTATCTACATTTGATTCCACTTGACATTTATTTTGATTTTATTGCAGATCCCTTTAAATAGGACTAACAGATACACCTCAAAGAATTCTATCATACTAGGGAACTTTTCAAAGCAATATTTTTCTCTGTGTTCCTTATGTCTTCCCCGGTGTGTCTGACATTGATCAAATGTGAAGGTCTGAGTAACTAAAAAAACTTCTGCACTGGAGGAAACCACATTTTCTGGGTATAAATATGAATTATTACATAACACACATTAATCTAACAGCCACAAATCATGAGGATCACATGAAATCAGTTGTCCTATCAACAGAACTACATAGCCTCCTATGGATAAGTACAAAAGTCTAAGAGATGGTTATATTTCATTCTGTTCCCCATTTTTCAGCCAGCACAGAGCACTTTTGACAGGCATCAAGTGGTTTTGCTGAACAGATACCTCCAGATAGACCATACTTGTTGGATACTCTACAAAATCAAATTCACCTTATGGAAGACAAGGAACACATTTGCACCTCCAACCTACATGAACATCTTGGAATCCTAAGTGAAAGAGGACAACTTTCATCCTATTTCAAGAAACTTGATTCTGGACTCCTCCATCTTAAGTGACTGGATTGTGAAGATGGAAGCATGGTTCACACTGGGAAGCAACCAGACCCAATCTTGTTTGTTCTGGCAGCCCCCAGCTGTGGTAGAAAGAATGGATTGTGTCGCTGGAGTTCCTACCACCCATAAGCACAATTGCCCCTTCTACCATGTTCAGTTTTTTTAACAACACATGTGTGGGCATGGTTTAAAAAATAATATATGGACAGAGGAAGAAAGTACAAACAGCTGTTCAAAAAATGGAAGAAAGGGCCCCAGAAAAAGCATCACTCAGGTTTGTCTGGCATGTAAAATGTCCAGGGATACCCTTGAAAAAAACAATATGTGCCCCACATGCATGTATAAATGGAACCTGCATACTATTTTTGCCTCCTAAGTAACCTATTTTAAAATCAGGATCTCCGCCAACAGGAGCTGGAAGTGGAAGGGAAAAAACTGGAAGAATTCTGTTCCTTTTAAAAGGTTCCTTGATTTCTGAGGCATACCAAAATTAGTAATCAATTCCAATCCAATTTTAGTAAATCCTTAGGGTTTTTTGAGCCAAAAGCTTCCCAGCACTAAATTGGATGATGCTATGGAAGGCACATAAGAAACAGTCAGGTGGGGGAGAGTCTGCAACAAGAGCTATGGATCCTGCTAACCCAATCTGTACTAACCCCAATCAGTGTGAGGATCTGGACAACCTCCAGGTAGCCTGCAGGTATCCAAACAGCTGTGTTTTGGTGCCCAGCATTTAAATAAAAGACTTAATCTGCAAGTGTCCACCTATCCTGTCTGTGATGACTAGGCTTAATAGAGCTCCATGAAAACAGGAGCATGGGATGTACAGGCTGCCATCTCGTGGAGATTCATAATGAAACGAAAGATTACGGTTGGTGTTGCAGCCGTGACAGAACAGTGGGAAAGAAACTGAGGTGTCTTACCAACTGTGGGTTGGTGCCATTTGAAAGAATATCCAGTAAGTCAGCAGAGGAAATAAAGTAAAATCTAGGAAACGCCAGCCGCTTGGTGTCCAAGTACTCAGCCAAGGCTTTTTCACACAGAGACAATCTGACAAAATCAAACACAGAACAGCATATATGCAGACCACAGACTGAACCAGAAAATCTGAGAAAAACAAACAGAACCCACTTTCCAAGCAGGGTTTAGCTTTTTCTTACTAAACCATTCCTTTGGAACTTTTTGTCAGCCACTGCAGCTTTTTGATAGCTATCAAATCAGTTTACAACTGGGAACAGAAGGTTCATAGTGGATAAGAGACAGGACAATGATCCAGGAGGTCATCTGTTCAAAATTTGCCTCTGCCACAAACTCACTAGGTGGCCTCAGGCAACCTGTCCTCTCTCAGCCTCCATCCCCCATTTACAATATAGAGATAATAGCACTGTCCTACTTCTCAAGATTGTTGTGCTGTGATTTGAAGCACTTTGGATACTAAAAGCACTATATGAAGAATAGGTATTATTATGATCATCTAAACCAAAGGATATGACAAAATATAGACACCTGAATGATAAAACCAATGAATAAGCAAAATCTATATGTATTTTAAGAGCTAGAGCCTTACAGTACAATCCTGTGGAGACTTATTCCAGTCTAAGACCATTAAATTCAATAGGCTTAGACTGGATAGCTCTGCACAGGATTGGACTATTTGAATAACACATAAAAGCAGAGAAATCAGGTTATTAAAAAGTCAACTGCATTTTCAGATATAAACTTCTTACAACAATTTAAGGAAAATGATGAATTAGTGTAGACCATATATAATTTAACATCAAATAAAGCTCCAAAGTACACCAATTCTTAAGCTGCAGTTTATCATTTATTGTTTGCCTTAAGTGTTGTGGACTGGATTTTCTTGCTCTATGGACATTTCTGCTTTTCCAGTTTGGAATTGTGAAGTCTTTTCTCCACTTTGGAATTGTGAAGTCTATTCTGGGATTGTAAAGTTTCCTTCAAATTCTTAACCTGTTTGTGTACTAATTGCTTTGAACAGTATATTTAAATAATAAGAATAGCTTAAGAATTGGAATACTTTACAGATATAAACTTCTGGCATTCTTTTACAGCACCATAAGCAGAGGAAGAATCTCCCCCCCCCCCCAACAGATTTCAGTCTTTTGCTGAAATCACCACTGGTACTTTCCATCCAATAGCTGAACTAAGTATTTTGATCTCAGGGCTTTTTATTTAGGACACAGTAACAAATAATGCTGTAAATTCCCACTGAACCTTCTCCACAAGCATATGATTAAAGAAACCTTCCAAAATAATTCACCTGATGGAATCAGAGTAACATAAAAGCTTTCCTAAATGGCTACAAATGAAAATCTGATAAGATAAGCTTTCAAAGCTGTGGGAAATTTTAAATAGCAATACCACTATGCTGCCCCACTACAGAAAGCTCACCTAAGTCTGCTTCTACAAAACACATTGTTTAGTTTAATTCTGAAATGGCATGAGCCATAGGCTTCTAGCTCTGCTAAAGCAAACTGATGAAACTGGGCAGCTTTCACTGCTTTAACACTTTGGATACAGGCATTTTCCACCATGGGTGTGTTCAAGAATGAAGCCACAACTAATCTCTGCTCTCCAGCATGCACACCCCCTAACAAAAACATAGTAACCAACATGTGGTTACATACACATATCGTATTTTTACAAGACATTTTAAATATTTTAAATGCATGCTTTAGAGATGTAGAATTGGATTCTACAACTTCCTTCTGCTAAGTGATTGCCTTCTACCAAGTAGTCCTGAGTGTTTCAGCTATACAGGGAGGGGGGAATACTTCTTAAAACAGCTCTTAAAGAGATAACAAAATCCATGATTGACTAGAACAAAGTCTATCATTATGTACAGGTAGAAAGAACTTAAAGAGAACATCCTTCAAATACATGCCAGGACACAAACTCACCAAAGGTCCCATTTGTGGCACTGCAGGGAGGGAGGAGGAGGAGGAAAGGGTGGGGGCTGCCACAGTGGCTCTTGCCGGGGATGGGGGCAGTGGTGAGCACAGGAAGCTGGGGCCCACCCAAATGCTGTGTGTGTGTTTTATTTGAACCTGGAGTTAGGAACAGGAGTCATTGGTAAGGGAACCCCCACCTCGGTGCCCACCTTGCTTCTTCATTGGTACTGGGGCTGCAAACATCACAATCAGAGATAGCACTGCATGCAATTCCGCAGAGTTCCCTCTAAGCTGCGCTAGGGGGTGCTGGTGCACAAAATTTTAGCTCCAAGCTCAGGGAGTTTAAATTTCTGCTCACACTAAGGCAGGGGTGTCAAACATGCAGCCTGTGGGCCAGAACCAGCCTGCAAGCAATTGGTTCTCTCCTGCTTCTTCCTCCAGGCTGCTGCTGTGTCACCAAGCCTGTCTTCCCTCCAGTGGCTGAGAACTCCTCTTTTTCTTTTGCACTAACCACAGGACTGTTATCTTGTTTTCCTGTCTCCTCTCCCGCTTCGTCCTTGGATATAGTAAATAAAGAGAACTGTTTATTTTTTTAATGTGGAGTTCCCTCCTTTGTGCAGCAAATAGCCCACAGCCAGGACGAAGAGCACTATCAGAGTGAGTCCCTGTAGTTACAACTTCTTTACATGGTGGTACAACAGTGGCTTATTTCTGCATGAGAGAGGTGGGAGTTTTGGACCTAGGCTGAGGTTGCAGGAAGCTTGTTAAGTTGGCCAGAATGGCTGAATGCCAGGATCAAGAGTTACCACTGGCCTTTTGGAGCAAAGGTTTAACAGCAGTGGAAGAGGACGTCAGCTACAGGACTTTGCTGAAGGTTATGCTGGGATTCAGGGCCGTAGGAGTATGCTTTTAGATGAGCCAGTACAAGAACTGAGGGGTTACAAAAATATGTGATCTTTCCTTAAAA